CTGCTGATGCTCTAGCAATGCCCCTCCTCAAGCTGTGATGAAAGTTTGATTTTCCATTTTACTTCACGCCCAGGCTGACCAGGACATCTCCAGCTCAGTTCTCAATAATGCAGATCATAATGAGCGATTTCAAGCTTTGTTGTGTGGATATTGGGACACGATACCCTATCTTATCATAATATGACTATACATTTCCCTTCTATTCACTATGTGCTGTGATCTGCATCCGAAATATGTGTGTGTTCGGTTTCTGCAGCACAGCCTAAAGAGAGCTCCCATGAAGGTCTGTTTATTTTTGGAAAAGTCTATTTAACTTTGCTCTGACATCGCACACAGGATGGCTGCTTTTACGTGGTGATACCGTGTGCTATTTATCCTCCTGTCAAGCTCCAGTGGGGACAAGACTCCTATAGTCAGTTGGCTGAAAAACTGTGTACATTCTATCCCATAATGTCTTCAAAGGTAGAATAAATACCTTTCTGGAAGATATGTTTTAGCCAAATGTATTTTCCTTTAGTCAAACATAAGTTTTCTGACTCAGAAGAAGTGTAGCTGGATTAAATTTAATAGTCTGTAGCGTACAGGAGGCCTCCTTTGGGCTTGAACTCTGTGAAGCAACACACTTTGAGATAACAGAAAATAGAAGACCAAGCTGGGAAGCGAACAGCAAAAATGTGTATTTTGCTCTCTGCTTTTTTATCCTTTTCAGTACAATCAAATAATTTATCTTGAATAAATTAGTTGGGCACGTGAAATATTTGAATGGCTCATTTTGCCGCAGAGGAGGTCTGCAAGCCCAGCCATCACTTTGGTTTCCTTCTGAAAGGCCTTGGATCTGTCCTGGGCGAGGAAGCGGCATGAACATGATGCATGTTAGCAAGGCCCAGCTCTCCACAGCTCTTACATGCTGGGGTTATTTTAAGCTCTGAACAAAATTTATCAAACTGCGTTTTCGAAAAATGGTACAATATGAGTCACAGTTACTTCACAGCCATCTTGCTGCAGGCTCTTGCTACCTGCTGCAGGATATTTATTACCCCTGATGCCCGCTCCGAGAATCTCCTTTCTGGGTCTGTATTTCACATTTAATGAGTGCTTTTGCAATTTCATGACTGTTTTCTGAAGTTTAGGTGGCAGTCTGCACAACCTAATGGTTTATGGCCTGTTTCAGACTTCACTGATTTCTGTCCATAAACACGTACATGAAACTATTCAAAAACCCAAACTATTGCTTTTCTTCCATTCTGCTGTGTTTCAATGACCTGGACCATCTTCTCTCTTCATCCAGAACAAATTATTCCATGTGGCAATGACTGGCTTCACCTGTCTCCTCGACTCTGGGCTAATATGCCCATATTTCAGTAATATTTTATAAAGCCCCATAGCCTCCAGTCTCGCTTGTGACCTTCTGGAACACATGCAGTGTTTTGGTATGCTGATCTCCTTCAATAACACTCTTCTTATTTTCAGAAATTACCATTTAATTCTGCTCTGGCATGGCACAGAGAAGAGTGGGAACGTTGCTTGAAAATTTGTTTGTGTTTTTTACGTGTGAACTGCATAAGGCTGATCACAGGCACAAAGTAGGTTTCTATAACGAAAGGCAGGGCTCAGTGTAGTCGAAGGCAAGCTTAGGTACGAGGTCTACCTGCTTCTAATTTGGCCAGCAAGTGTTTATCAAGCTCTGATGGAAAATGGTACTGTGGCCACCACTTCCTTCACCTTGAGCTCCATAAAGGCGGATTATCTCTCTGGCATCTCCAATATCTGCACCCAGCCAGGATGCAAAGTGGTTGGACTATCATGGCGCTACGCCTCACTGGTCATATATGATGAGCAGCTTATCACGGGGGATGAATTTGGGGTGCTCTGGGGTACTTGGTAGCTTGTGACCAGCATATTTAAAAGATGAATAAAAATTCTGGCTAGTAAGTCTGTCCTTTTTACAGGATGCAAGTCTCTCTCAAAAGCAAATTTTGTCTCTGTAGGGGATCAAACTTCCCTGGGGACTGGCCTGAGATGGAGGAATGCACTTTCACAGGAGCAACGTGTTGCTGCAAACTTCACCACCTGCTGGGCGGTGGTGCGGTCTGCGGTTTTGATTTTACAAGTTTTTTTAAATACGTAGTGGCATATGCACTTAAAACAAACATACTCTAGAAAAAAACCTCCAGACAAATTTCCCCTACTCCTTCCCAAAACAAAACTGAAATAAACAAACGAAAACCTCTACAAAAACAAAATACACCCCTGCACTTGCTCCTTTCCGCTGAGGAGAGAATGACAGAACAGATGTATAACAGAAGTTATCTATGCTGATTAATACATTACTGGGGAGATGCTGAGAGATTACGGTGATAAGTTTAGAAGCAACCATATAGAAAATACATTGGAATAGAGCAGATCCCCTCCACCTGCCCACAATGTAGTTTTACCAAGCGTTCATTTCTAAGGGATGTGTCACAGAAATCCTGCACTAGGTTCGTGTGAAAAATACATGTGAAATACAGAGAGAACTCAGAGCCTTTCTGTACAACAACATCCTACGGAAATTCTCACTCTTCTGCTTCCTCCTTGCGTTCACATGTCACCGAAAATGTTCCCCTCCACTTGCAACTATCACAAGAAATTGTACTCAGAGTGCTGGGAGCTATAATAATTCCAGTTTTTCAGTTTTCAGGTTTTCTCTTGCTTTCAAATATTTGCAGTTAGAAAATGCTCTTCTGCTCCACAGGAATATATTGATTTCAGGGACACTGTAATTTTTCATTATCAGGAGGATCAAATTAAGGACATCAAAATAAAAATGACACAGTCATTTTGATTTTCCATTTCAAAGCAAAATTAAACAACGCTTTGAAATGGTGATTCAAAGTGTGCCGCTCAGCTACAGCAAATCTTTTAATTTGGATCAAAACCACTGACTCCACCCCAACACTTTTTACTGAAGATGTTTCAAAATTTGCTAGTCTGCAAAGTCTCTGCTTTTCACCTCTCCACGCTCCTCCCTGGAACACAAATTGTCTATTGAAACGTCCCCAAAGGAAGATATTCTCTTTCCTTAATAAGAATTATGATGACAACAATGACGAGAATAAAAACAGCAATAACCTGATCCTAACACACGGGGCTGCATTACAAGACGGCGATAAAGTTGAAAATCCCTCTGCTGGGAAGACTTTCTGAGCGCTCCTGCTAGACTCCGAGTAATCAAGGATCTGATGATAAAATATATTCATAAAAGCTGCTGCTATCAAAGTGCCCCGCAGCTCTTTTTTCCAGCTATCCAGCATCCATGAATATTTGGACAGACAGACGTCCAGCAGACAGGACAGCGATGCCTAGCCGCCTGCGGGAGACACGTGGGGCCGCATAGTGCTACCATGGCTTGCACCAAGCCGTGCCTCCTTCTCTTCCCCAGAGTTTCGATGCCATCCCAGAACGTGTGAAGTGAACTTCCATCTATCGCATTCACTCAGAACAAACGGCTCTCTTCTGAAATCCCCTTCGAACAGAAGGGAAAGAAAACCAGAACTGGATGGGGAGAAAAGAAAACAAAGGGCCTCTTTGCCTTCCTCTTTTCTCAGAGCATCGCTTTAGATGTTACCACGGCATGTAAATGCAGAAAAGGCATTGTCTGTAGACTCTTTCTCACGACTGGCAGTAGTTCTGCTTTGAGTCTAACTAGATCAAAAAGGGTCTAAACCTAAACTGGGATGGGCACAGGGGCAGCTGCCCCTGCCAGCATGTGTCCACCCTCTGCGTGGCTGGGACCTCACAGTAGGTAAGGCCGATAAGTCCCGAAGGCGCCAGCCCCATGGACCCTCCCTCCCGCTAATGCTCAGGGCAGACCTCTCAGAGGTGAGGGGTATTTACGATCCACATCCAAGGCCATAGCATAGCCATCCTAAGTGCCTCTGCCCCCAGCACAAAAAAAGTAGAGGTGTCGAAAACCTTATCCCGGGTTGCCCCTCAGGAATGCACTTCTGTGGCAAGGAACAGATTCCTCAGGTATCACAGACATTATTTGCAGGAGGTGCAACCTATTAGAGCCACGCTCATAGTTATTTAGCTCCTATGCTTTTTAATTCTTCTTTTTGCATTTGTACGAACAAGGCATTGAGAAGAAATGTGTATCACAGGCTACTGTGACAGGCAAAATCTTTATCACAAGACTGGTGGGAATACAGCTTTCAGAAAGGAAGGAGGGGTTTCCAGATGTTATTTACAAGTAAATCCATGCTCCTCTCTCTATCATAGATTCATATCTTCCGCATTTCACTCATCTTTTCAGCCACCTTACAATATTATGCCAACTCTTCCAAGAAAAATTACCTATCAGCAATCACAAGGGTTTTAATTTATACAAAGAATAAATATTTCCATCAAAAGGCCCTTTGGGAAAGCTTTGGATTTTGGGTCCTATTGGACTTTAGGTGACTTACAAGCAGCTGAACTATTGACTGAAATGGGAACAAGAGGGAAAACACTGTTATTCTCTGACCTTTCTAAAGACCAGTAATACTTAAAGCCATTCAGTGTGCTCCATAATCTTTGGCACAGACTATATCGCCTTTCACTGAGCACCTATTGTGTTATTTCTCCTTCCTTTACTGGAATTTTAGAGCTTCCCTATTATGATATAAAGACTTTTTCTAATGGCAAAAAACCAAAGGATTGACCAAAACCGACTGTGAACAGGTGGCTTTAGAAAAAATCTTGTTTGCATTTCTGTAAATTCCCCCAAAAGAACGCTCCTCCCGCCCACCAGCGCAAATTTAGGATGGCGTTTTTAAATGAGTGTTGTTTTGTTTGAGATCCTAAGCTCATAGCTGTGAGACCTGTGAACCCTTGGATCCTTTCTAAATCTATAGCTCTAATTTAGAAAACTAAACTATGGTTCAGGAAGAAAGTCAAAGAAAAACGTATTCAGCTCCAGGGCATGCAAAAAGATCAAACCATATGAACTGGAAGAAGGTTTGCAGGGGAAGGCAACCCACCTTGGAGAAATATCACATCCTTGCTGCATAAAAGCTCCTAGGGAGAACCAGAGACTGTTGAATATCCCAAACTCATTCGTCTGGTCATTGGCTGGCTGGTCCCGTCCTTCCTCAAACTCTTCGGTGTGCCACTCATACGGACTGAAGCGACTAACCAGGAAGAGGACAACGCTTACTCCAATGTAGGCAAAAACAATGCACATCCATATTTCATAAGCCAAAGGATCCAGAAAAGAAAAAACTCCTGGTTTGGACTTCTGAGGTTTTTTTATCATGATAGAGATACCGAGGCTCATAAACGGTTTGGAAAAGTCTATAACTTCTTCTCGAACCAGAGTGATGGTTAATGGTGCCACAGCCACATCAGCTCTCTGAAAAGGAGAGACAAAGAACAGATTGCATTTGGGGGATAGAATGCATCTATCAGCTCCAGTTCCTTTTTCTTGGATCTCTGTTTACCTCTGCTACTTAAAAAATGATCAGACAAAATCAACTGCAGGAGAAACATTAAAAAAGCAGCCCACAATATTACTATATTATTTCCATTTTATCACTACTGATTACCAGGTCTGTTTTGAAATCACAGCATTTTCTTTTTCCAGTCACCTAGCTCTTCTTGTCTGATTTATCCACTGATGTCACAGTCTGATGTAGATGACTTTCACTAAAAGAGCCTTATCATCCAGACATCAAAAGAGGCGAGGAAAGGCCAATCGCCTGAAAAAGGATGCCGCAATGTTTACTTCCATCAGGAACTGCTTTTTGATTGCATAACTGATGTAGGAGAAGAGGAAAAAAGTTCCAGTGACACTGACGGGTACTGTCTGTTTATTTTACAAACAGTCTCGAAAACGGAAAGCCAAATGTATTGCAATGGCTGTGGGTACATCCCACAGCCTCCTGGCGGGACAGCATGTACCTAGTGCCCGCAGTGTGACACACGGGCCTGAGCACGGATGTCCCCTACACTGCTAGGTTGGAAATTATGCTCCTCTGAAAGGTGACTTAAAATATCTCAGCTGGGGAACCACCAGAGTGAACCCATTTTGGCATACTGCCAGGGTATGACTGCGCTCCCAGTGCTGCCTGGAGTTTGCTATAGGTTGTCAAATCCTGCTCCTGTGCCCATGCTCTCGCTGTGGGCAGAGGCTGAGCTCCTACTGCCTCCCATGGCTGGGCAGAGCTGGGAAGTTTTACCTGCTGGATTTGCCTGTGTCTTTCCGCTGACTATGAAGGGAGCCTAAATAAATAATTTAGACTAGACACCTGGCTTTTTACATGTCTATGGGAAGGTGAGTCAAGTTTCATTCCTCATACCTGTACGTGTATTTGGCTCAGTAGCTTTGTACATCGAGCTACAGTTCCCATCCTACCCAGGTACTGCAGAGATTGGATATCAATGGAAGTGAGTGGCTAGACAGAGAATGGTCCAGTCCCAGCGTTCAACTAATCTTATGCTGAGTGTCTGAAATTGTATCATTCTTTTATCTTGCCATTACCATGCAAATATAAAAAAGAGTAAAATTCGGGAATTCTACCCATGGGAAAGTTTGACCTTTCAGTATTTCTTCTACCAAAAAAGGCAGGAAAAAACATATTTTTGGAAATGTTGAAAAGAAATATTCTGACATTTCCACAGGCACAGGATGTGCCGTCCCTCCCTAAATTAAAATGTTTTATTGGACTTGTTATCTGCATTAACAGAGCTTCAGCCCTCAAGATAGCTCGAGCCTCAGGGGGGAAAGAAAAAAAGAAGATTTAACTAGGTAGCATATAAAGTTCAGTACAGCACTATGTTTCCCTGCTTCAGAATGAAATATTTCTGAACATGTAAAAAAATAATTCAGGTGATCAAATATTAAAGTTTGCATTCAATTTTGCCCAAGAGAGTGTAAAAACAAATCATTAAAATCCCTTTTTTCCTTTGGAAAAATCCTGATTTTTTTTCTTTTTTTGAAAACTCACAGTAAACTTTAGTGACTAATGGGTGAAAAATTAGACATAAATGTAAATCTTTATGGTGGAAATAACAGTAAGAAGAAGATACTCAAAGAGAAGCATTTTGGTATTTAGGGTACATCTGTCCAGACTGATGAACCTTATTTGATGCAACCATTTTAAGAACAGTTGGGGTGCGGAGCCGGCTCAATGATGGTATTCTAGGTATTGGTTTGGGGGTAGATTCTCTTGTTATTTATTTTGGAGGACTTCTTTGAGCGCTTCTCTGCAGGAAAGAATCTTTGCAGAGTGGCAGGTACTCTTCTTGAAAGGAAGGGTGGTGGCATTTAAGCTCTGAGGATCCCCGCAATATAGACTAATGAGAGCGCAGTGGTGGCATGGAGGTTGCACTGACAGAAGGCTGAGGAGTTGGCAGCTAGAAGAAAGGTTCCCTTTTATTTTAGGACTTGAATCTATTCTCAAGACAAGAGCTAAAAACAATGGATGAGGTTGCAAACTTACCCCATAAACCAGTTCTCCCACCATGCCGTTCCACGTTTTAGTGTCCGGGTCCCGGGCTCCATACTTCCCATCTCTGACAATCTCCAGCCTGTAGTGGTAGCCAACATGCTTGGCAATCTCCGCAGCAAGCTCCACGCAGTAGCCTTCGTATCTCTCATTGCCTTCAAACTGGTTGGCATTCTTCTTGAGCATCACATATGGGTCTTCCTGGCACAGAGAAGACAAATATTGAGCCATGCTTCACCTTTCTAGAGGTGCGCCTCAGACTCTCAGACTAGAGCACAGCGTACAGTTTCTGGTCCTCTTGCAAAATCATAGCTCTGTGGTCCTTCACCAAAGGCAGTCAATGCACAAGGGAGTTGTCACTAACTTATTACTAAGGGTGATTTTATTACAGCCTTTTTCTATTTAGTTATACAGAATCTGGGGGTAGCTCCTGTTGTGATAGACCTGATGGGAATGGAGTAGCTGGTGGTATTTGGGCCACAGCCTTTCGGTGCTGTTCCATAAAGGATATTTAGTTCATCCAACCTGCAAATTTTTAGAGGCATGTCTATCTATGTGGGCACTGGTAGAATCAAATTTGCTGGACAGAAGAGAGACCTAAAGGTGTTTAACTGGGTTTGGGTATTGTGTCATCTTCTCTATAGACTCACAGTGAGCAGTCAACAAACAACTTACTAAAATTTCATCAGTGTCTGCAAGGTAAGCATATACAATAACATAGTACATGATACCATATATTATGAGGTACCTATTGTTCCTTCACGATTATAGCGGAGATTTGTTTTTAAAGCTGTGATTCAGACTCTCTGCACAATACAGCCTATCCTTCCCAAAAGTACAGCCCCCATTCTGTGGGCTAAATACAAAGCACATGTATAATGTTCCTAATTTACCTGTGATGATGCCTCTACTGTCTTGTCATAATCTTTTGTATTTCCTGCACTTACATGAGATCCCTTAAATGCTTATTTAATTAGCCACAGCAATTTTCAGATGCCTTTATGAACCCAACAGGAAGCAGTAAGTGTTGTTGTTGTTGTTATTACTATTATTATATAAATTATAATCATAAATCATTACAACGGAAGGCATGCAAGAGGGAAGAGGGAGTCGGCGCACCAGCAGATCAGGAGCGGGAGAACTGGATTAGAAGTCAAGAACTTACTAGGATAGTTGTGACTATGTAAGTCCTGTTCTGAAGACTTGTAGACTCATTGCCACTTTGAGTATCCACGGCTGCTGGAACCAACTTCTCATCTTCATTCCAGTAACCAATCTGCCGAATACAGAACCAGGACATCTCATTGACACCTCTTTCAAATATTAAGCAAGTTTCACTAACAGGTTCGGCCTAGAAAAGTCAGCTCTCTCTGCATGTTCATACCCAACCAGAGATCTCATCACCTCCTGAAGTTTTAATCTCTTTTGCCAGTGGGACCAGGAACTCCCCCTTCCTATCATGCCTCCGTGCTGAGAATAACATACACCATTTGCAGGTTAGCAGAGTGCATCTAAGCACATAAAAACAACCAGAACACAGCACTGGGGAATTGCTTCAATTCTCTGCCCCCTCCCCACATCCCCTGTGTGATGAATTCTTCATATTTTTCTAGCAGTGAGCATGCCTGCTGCACGTCCAGATCTTATAGGTGGATCACATGCTATCCTGCAGCTGAAAGCCTGCATGAACATAGGGCTGACTCTTAGGACATCTTGAAAAAAACAGGACAAAAGTCAAGCAAGAAAAAATCAAACTCTGGAAAATGTCAAAAGGTTTGGAGTTATGAATAAAACTAAACAGCTGTAATAACTGGCAGAATTTGCATGTTAGGCTGTGCTTATTAATAATCAGGGATTCAGTTTGAACTATTGCTGCTTGCAGGCAAAGCAGGGTGCCAGCAAAGATCAATAGGAAGATCATCATTGAGGTTATCCACTTTGAGGTGGTTTATCCACTTTATAAGAGGTTTTCCATCACCCCATGTAAGCATGAAGTTGCCTGAGCTCTGCTCATGCGGAAGGGATTTCTTATCTCAGTGGGATAAGATATGGGAAGGGGTATTAACACAGGGCACTACCAGGAGCCTGCCGATGGCAGATTAGAGATCATAACAATCCAAGAAGAGAAAAGCTTTACATAGGCTTCTCAACCCTCTTCACCGCACAGAGAAAAAGAAAAGAAGGTGAGGAAACAGCTTCCAAAGCGCTGCCCTCGGGCAACAAATGGAGACATGCATATTTGTTTTGCACTACTAACTTGGAAGATCTACGATACAGTACACATCTTAGCAGTAATGGATGTGTCCTCTAAATAAATATCACTTCTGTCAGTAAATACACAGGCAAATCAAGACATTTAGCTATCCTATTTCTTCTCCTCTAGACTCCCTCCAAATTGCCAACATCTTTCTCTAAGTTCAGAGCTCCAAGCTGCACCTAATACCTCTTAGGAATACCAAGTACAGCGGGAAGATCACTTTGCATGTTTTAGAAAAGATGCTCCTTCTGTTTCTGTGAGGAATTTGCTTGTTTTTGCACGACCTTGCTGATTCATGCTTGACGCCGTGGTGGGTTCTGATCTCACATCTGCTGCTCTCAGGGGCAAGTGTGAATTGGGGCAGAGGGAGTTTGGCCTGTAAAGGTGCAACTGTTGCTGTTTGAAGTTTTTCTTAGTTTCAAACATACATTTTATTTTTTCTGGGGAGCAAGGGGGTGCAAGACAGGTTCCAGTAAATGCTGCATTCCAAATTATTTAGTAGATATCCTCCATTTGTAAGATAGCTGAGTTACTCTTTGGTCTTCAGAAAAATAATCTCTAACACGGGACATAACTTCATGGAGTCAGATTTTCAAAAGCACCTGTGTTTCAGTGGCTCAGTACCCCTAAACAAGGCCAGATTTTTCAGCGTGCTTAGGATATAAAAAGAGATCAAGATTCCAGAATTTCACAATAATTGCATCGCAATCAGGACGTGGCTAGTGGGAAGGCTCATCACTTCAAGGAGAGTAAAATTAGGCCGGCATAAAGAGTTCATCTATACAGGCTAGGGTAGACAGATTCTATCTGGCTCCGCCTCTGCTCATTGCTTGGAAAGGAAAAGTAGGGGAGCAAAAACACAAAGCTGCGTAGCTGGTCCTGAGCCAACATGCTCTGCCAACAAGAAGCAGCAGTAGGGACTGAGCGGGTCAAGCTTTCACTACCCTGGCAATCTCTGCTCCACAGTCTCTTCAGCTGTGTAGATTCCCTTGCTGCTCTTGATGATCCTTTCTATATTTTTATAGTAAGACACCATGAGTTCTCCCTAGTGCTTGGATTTACTCGTGTAAAGAGCTGAGAACACACTCATGGTGACTCTGCTTGCAAGCTTTCATGAACAGAAACAGCCTTTGAGGCCTAACCACGCCGTAACACAAACGCTGGGCTGGTGCCTAGCCCAGGATCTGAAGTCAGTCTCTACTTTACCTTTCTGATCCCATCATGTTTCATCTCAATCACATGCAGGGTGTAGTTGGTCCTCCGTCCCTTCTCATTAAACTGAACGTTACCAGATAACCCCTCAAAACGGACCTTAAAAACATGAAAACCAGTGAAGAGAGGAAATTGGTCAGCATTACATGCTGTGGCAGTTCTGCAGCAGTGAGTCGTGAAGAGACGCAGAATGCAGGTATGTCCCTCAGGTGCACGCAGCAGAGACGGGACTTCTGCCAAACACCAGGCTTTCATTTGGTTTTACTCTTTTCAGCGCAGCTAGCAGGGCATGCGGACTGGCCGTGTGCACACGTGACGTCAAGGCCCGTCTCTTAAAACTTTGTGGTCTGTTACTGAGCTCAGTGAGGCACAAGAGCTAGATGATGTGTGTGAGCCCATCACTTCTTGGGATGTGACACTGCGCTAAATCAGCTCTGAACTCTTTGGGTTTTGTGTCTGGTCATATTGTCTAAATCTGACCAGAAATCAGGCTTTGGTAAAGAGCTTGTCAGTCCAAATCTGGAACTGTATTTACAAGAAATACGAAACTGTGGCCATAGCCCCCAGCTGCCACTCTTCGCTGGAGAGGAGTCTATCAGGTTAAAACAAATTTAATTACCTGCTGCATCAGCTTAATAAAACCTGACAATTTAGTATCATAAATGAGATTCGCATAGGCAACTTTGAGTCATAAATCTCTGCTGATGACACTGGTGAACTGAGGAGTGCTGCTCAGGCATCACATCACACTTCCTGAACTTTTCCTTTTGGTGCAGCCATGTGAGCTGTTGCAGACGTGCCAGCCCGCTGTGGAGAAGAGTCTCCGACTGGAATTATAGCATGCGAGGACTGAGCAGTGGGGAGCAGGAATATGAGTGTGAGTTTGGGTCTTTGCGGAAGAATATTGGGGCCACCGGGTTGTGCATTAAAAGTTTGTTCTCCGTCCTTCCACTAACTCTGGACAGATCTGTTCTCTCCGCAGCTACTGGGTTCCCACGTGTAAAATGGGAACAGGTACTTCATGCGTTTTGAAAGCTGCCTTTTCATTCTGAGATCCTCAGAATAAAGGCACAGAGTGAAGAAATGAGAATATATCAGTGCGAAGGAAATCTGCTGCTAATCTGCTTAAGCTGTATTTGTTTTGCAGCTATTATCGCAAAGTTTTGTCATGAAAACTAGCATCTGCCTGTATTTCCTGAAGCTCCTTCAAGTCAAGAGGTATACATGGTGACATTTGGAGAAACATGCATTTCTCTTCTCACAAGGAACAGCGCTGCAATAGCACTATTTTCCTAAGCACTCCCACGCCTGCTCTTTTGATGGCCCCTTTGGCTTTCTTTTTGGGTCTTGAGCGACTCTGAAACTCCAACCCCAGGGTGGTCCTGCTTTATACACTATAAAGGCTAGTGTACCACTCCTATCCCTTTTATGTGTATGGAAGAAATCTTAAACCTGTCATATCCCCATAGCACTGAAACAGCAAAAGGGGTTTCTCCCAGCGATGCTGGAGTCATTTACCCTTCCTTTGAAACCGTCTCGTAGTTCCTTTTACATTTGCTTCCTTGACTAAAACTGTTCCTTGATTAGCTAGATGCAGCTCTGTCTCGATACATGCATTTTTCTCTCTTTTTGTTGAGTGAGAATAGCTTGCCCTCGGAATCGATCAGAGGACCAATTTCAACAGTGCTAAGCACCACCAAAGCAAACTGGACACATGCAGCATTTCGGTACATTTGCGTGCAACGCACAGGCATGTCGTTCTAGTGCCGCATGGGCTGGGAGTGAAGGGAGCTATTGCGTGTCTTTTGGCTTACAGGTTTAGTCAGCAGCTGGGAACTGGCCTTCTACTTACTAGATCTGGTTACAAAATAAGATTAACAAAAAATCCATCAAAAATAATCATAATCTTTTCAAAGTAGAACTGAAACCTCAAGGGACTGCTTTAAAGTAATATTTTGTGAGCATCTCCTGAAAAAAATCCTACTTTTTTAAATAAAAGCGTATATTTTTCTCAAATGGGTTAGATGTCTGTTTCTGAAAAATTGCAGACTATTTGAAACTGCTTTTCATTTTTGCTCCTGCCATCCATGACTCCTTCCTACACTAAACAGAAATGAGGCAATTCAGGAGCTTATTCAAGACATTTGAGTAGAGAAAAACTTTTTTCTTTTAAACAGATCATAAAATTTTAGGCATTAGCAAATGGGAGATGATGAAAAAGCACACTGTGAATATCTGTATGAATTGCTGTAATTGTGAATCTTTGTAGAAAGGATAACTCAGACCTTCAGTCTAATCATAAGTTCTTCCTATTTCCATCTACCTCTTTCTATACTGCAGTTATTGCTATAATACTAAGTGCTAGATGTTTATTAAATTCACAGTTAAAATTTCCCAAGGAGTTTCCTTCTTCTCCTACAAGTTTCAGAGCCTTTTATTCTGATCATCATGACTAAACTGGTTAAACATTTGGAAAATGGTAATTTTTCAATGGTAAAGAAACAATTCTTGCAAACAGTTCTTCGTTTGCTGCGCCTAAACACACTGCAGCTGGAAATTAAGAGTTTTGAAATTGCTTTAATGAAGAGATGAGGGGTAAACTTCAGAGAAGATTTTCACATACACACACAACATTGTATTTTCCAAGTAGATCTAATTTTAATCTCCTCTTCTCGTAAATTCAATAAAGGAAAATGCTTGAGTGCCCGTTGTTCATCAGATGACTTCCAAGTATTTCCTGTTTATTAGGTAACCGATCTCCCTAATGCATCAAGGAGACTGATTTTATTATAAGAATTTGGAAAAGCATGACAGTGATTTGCCCAAGGTCACATAGTCAATGGCAGGCTTGGGAATAAATCAAATGCAAGCAATCAAATCAAATCAAGTGTAAGATTTAGTTTTAAAAGAATCCTTATTTACCAGTAAACTAAAATCAAATCAAAACAAAATACTTGGCAAAATTTATATATGACACACAAAATAACCAAATTAATTTAGTTTTTATTGCCTTTGTGGTTAAGGAAAGAAGATGGGATAAGCTATATTTGGATAACACTGAACTAGCAGTATTTCCAAGGAATCATCTATTTTTGAAACCAATTTAGCACAAAGTATGAGAAAAAAGTAGAGTATATGTCTGAAAAAAGAACACTAGAAATGAATGTCAGTCTTGAAATTTAAAGAAATTTTGAAACGTACTGCCTTGCTAAATCATTGGTAAGTTTAATGTTTTCCTGTCTCGCTATAAGTTTAGTTTAGATTTTGCTTATTCTCTTTCAGAGACCTGACTCTGCTCTGGAAAGGCTCATCCCTTTGGGCATTTCTGCTGCTAAGCATCCCTCTTCCCTGATCCTACCCCAGCTTCCCACACAAACGTCCCCGCGACGGGCATCAGCTCAGTGCCTAACCTGCTGCAGTGCTCTCTGAATGTCAATCCCTTGGCCCCAGGGCACAGCCGGGTTGGCGAGACAGTCCCCGGCGTTCCCGCGACGGGAGATGTCAATCCGCTGCCTCCGCAGGTTCTGAAACGCCTCTGCCATCACCCGAACCCCGTCATAGGTAAGAGCAGATGTGTACTAGAAAGAGAAGGGGAGTTGCACATCATCTGTTAGGGTTAGCCGCCCTCATGCGCGTTACAGTGGTTCCCCTCATGGAAAGTTTTCAGGTGATTTTGTTCTGTTTTAATCCTTCCAGCACTTCACTTACTCTAATCACTACGGTCTTGTTGACTTCTGAAAGTTGATACCTTGTCCCCCAGAGGACTCGAGAGTGAGACTCGCAGCTCCTGATGCGGGGCTAAGGGCTGCTGCACTTGCCTTGTGTTCTTCTAGCTGAATTGCTGTCAGATTGCGCTCCCTGAAGAGGACTTAACCTTAAAAGGCATTCACCTATAATCTGAGTCTTTCTGTTTCGTTAGAACGAGGAAAATGAATTTCTAAGGAATACATTATACAGCATGAATATGAGACTATATGATACTCAAAAACAAAAAATAAGTCACCCTTTCTGTTCATACATGGAAAGGGGAAAATTCTGCTTGAATACGCAAAAATTCTGCAAAAGACGAGTTTATTCAAGCAAAAATTTGTACAGAAAACAGTATAAAACTCTAGGGTGAACGGCAACCATTACAATTAATTCCTTTTCCTACCAACGTATTTACCAGTTCCTTTTCATCTACCAATCTATTTGTTTTCAAATGTCATATAGAAAAAAAACCCAGCCCCCCCTCCCTTCTTGACAGCTTCAATCTTCCGTGTCAGGAATTAAAATACATTTGTTGGCTATTGTACAGTGACTTGAAATGACTGGTAAGAACATCTGGAGAGACTTTGTTACCACTGGAGATCTAGCAAACAAGTCAATAGTTAAGGAGTTAGTGAGGCTTTTTTTTTTTTCAGTCCTAAACAGGAGGAGATGTTTAATCTCTAGCTTTAAGAAGGGTGAAAGCTGGGAGACTGCGTGAATATACTAACTTGTGCTTTTCTCAGCAGGCAGCAGCTACTGCCTAGTAGCATACGGACAGTGTTGAGACACATGGAGTGGATAAAATTCATAACTATATTAAGTGACAAGGCTTTAGGAGCAAGACAAGCAAGATTCAAGCGCTCAGTGTGATCAGAAAGAGGCAAGACCCTGCCTAAACTAAATGATTTTCTATACCACTTGCCTTTGGCCTCTTCCAGTCCACACGAGGATGCTCCCTGGCATCATTATTCTTCCACTGCTGCATGATCCTAGCTGGAACAGCGTCTGTGTAATTCACCAACTGGAAGCCAGTGACGTTGGCTCCACTTTCCTTGAACTTTGTCAGGTCAATATCCATGAATCCCTAGTACAGGAGACAAAGACAGCAGAAGCTCATCAGAGGAGCACGTTCTAGGTGGATAATAGGAAACCTGCCTATCTATGAATAATGTGGCAGCCGGCTTAGAAAAATCTCTTCCCTCTGCTAAGCAAGATCCTGGACTCTGCAAGGCTCCACTTCCCAGATCATGGGGTGAATGTGCCTTTCTCATTGGCAATAGGAGGGCTCTGAGCTGGATGCATCGTGCTGTTTCCCTCCACAGAGATGAACAGTCATACTAATAACAGTTCTTTTGCAAGAAAGCTATCAGAATAATGGAAAAATATATCTCAGATAATGCTTGGATGAAAATACCAAAATTCTCAACAAACATTTATTAGTAAGAATTATTCAGCCATCTCTAGCTTTTATGCACTCAGTTACCAGCAGAGAGGCAATTCCATTTCAAGTTACAGTTTGCGGAAAAAACAAATCCTGAAAAACAAACTTTCAGTAGGTTAAGAAGTACATGGCCGGTTAGCTTGCCAAAGGAGTCTACCTGTTAGAAAAGACAGGGCAGAGAATTTACTTACTTTGGGAGAAAAAGGCATTTTTTGCACCTCAGATTACTGGTGAAATTCATTTCTTTCATTTCTCTGCTGTTTTCCCCTACCTCTTGCCCACTACGTGTGATGAACACAAGTGCACAAATACACATGTACATTGGGGTGGTGGTGTGGAATTGCTGTCACCGGTAATCCACAGGTACATAAAAAGCAACTGCTGAAACACTCCAGATGAATCAGAGGCACAATAATTAGAGAGGCAGTGCAAGCAAGGTCATATTTGGCATCCTTGCTTTGATCCTATCTTTTCAGTATTCCAGATTCGAGAAACTCTTTGCTGCACCCCCTTGCACAAAGCAGAAGAAGCTTGAATAAAGGTTTGCTCTCCTGCTTGGCCGTTGCGTGGGGACCAGCAGAAGTCTGGTGTTTTCTTTCAGAGTAGAAGCACAAGAGTTGCAGCTAATTAGCTTCATTGATATCATGAGCAACCATAACACATGGGGGAAAATGAATGCAAGAAATATACACGATGCAGCTTTGCCTTCCCTTTTCCCTCCACAACACACTGCCACTCTACGTCCTCTCCAGGCACCTTCTAAACCTACTGCTGAGCCCCCCTCCTTCTCTTTCTCCCAATATACGTGATGATGCTGTGAGTTAAAGAAGTCAAATCACACCCCTCCCACAAGAGACTGACTGGCTTCCCACCGTATCGCTCTCTGTGCATGGGCTGGGGGAGCTAATTAGCTCATTATTGCCCAAGATTAGGGTCAAGTTGTTAGATGGAAACCTGTTGTGGGAGTAGACAGCTTGCAAGGAAAAGACTAAATTGCCCTCTTACACTGACATCAGACCAAGGGAGTCATAAGTGACTCAAAAAAGTCCTTAAAGACTTTCACACTTTTTCTCCCTACTTTTTGTAAGCAATTTAGCATCCTCTTACTGGCTCAGGATTGGATGTGCGTTTACAGATGCTCCAAACATGATTTATTTTGCTTCAAAGTGCAGTGATTTAGGTAAAAAAATATATGTAGTGATATTCTGTGACTACGTATTCCTCAGAATGCTGGTTTAGCCCACATCAATCTTGTTTGTAATTGCTAGCGTAGGGGTTTCAGAAAGCCAGAGCTGTGATTAATGAACAGGAAATGCAGTAGGATAACTGTCCCTGACATCTTAATGCATTTCAGGCCAAGTGGTTTTTGACACACAGAGCTCCTAAGGTTCAGTAAGAGGAACCTCACAGGTTGCCAACTGGTTATTCATGGCTAGGACCAAATTACACTGACATTTTGCTCCTGGGAGGTACTCAGGGGAAGAAAATCTGTCAAAAGAAACTATCATGCAGCAACTTGAAGTTTGTGCCACCAGCTCCTCCTTGGAAGGCCAATAAAAGCATGAAGGAAAGTCCAAGTTCACTACTGAATACGAATGAGATGTCGTGTCTAGTGTCCTTAACCCCCCAATGAGCAGATTTAAATGGGAAAACTCAAAAAAGGTTATGAGACCAGTGACTGGACAGCAGTGGTTGAAAACACTGTCTTTCACTGTTTTCCCCAAACCAAAGCATTCTGGAGCTGAAACAAGTATTCAGTTGGGAATATTCCAATTCATTGGGATTCATCTTATACAAAATTTTAAATCAATGTGAATAGACAAAAGGAATGAATTCTTCCTGAAGATTACGTTAGTTTTACCCCCTCAAGTCATTTTTGACATAGTTCAGGTTGGTTAAAAGTGTGAAGACTTCTGAAGCTTTTCCAATTGTTTAAAACAGATGGGAGCAGGGAGAATGTAATCTAACCTTGAATATCTCTTTGCATTTCAGCTGTTATCAACTGCTGAAATAACTGCTTTCACCTGTTATCCCTCCTCCACATGCCCCGGTACAAGGTTATTAAAGGAACGGTCCTAATTACAAAGGAATTTTAATCACTGCACCACAGAAATCTGCTCAGAGCAGGGCTGGGTGACGTGACAGCTAATCTGCCAGTGTAATACAGTTGAACTGGGAATATTGGTGGTCAGAAATGTTAGGAACCAATTCCCAATGGTGATGAATTCTTGCTGTCTAAGACATAAACAAGAATATATATCAAATGTTACGTCTTTTGAAAGTGTTTCTATTCACAAAGTGGTATCAGGAATTAAATATGCTTATCTATCTTTCTGGAATGTCAGTCAAGGCTCGCAGGAAAGACTACAACAGGAGAATTACTCTATTTGCAAGTAAAGAAGCCATCAATCATCCATCATCTTGTCCTAACTATAACCATATCTTGCAAAAAAGGGACCTTTTATTTAGTTTTCAGCCTGTCTGATTTAGAATCCAGGAAATAAAAAGCAGAAGTCTAGGCTAGCCCTGAGTTTGCAAAAAAGGAGGGATGGAGACAAAGAGAGCAGCTGTCCCATCTCGGATGTAATTGTCTAACCCACTATGGGATATTATCACCAGTTATTTCATCATTAGCAGATTTATCAAAGAACAATGACACTATGTGAGTAATAAACACAACCTGCCGTCCCTAATATTCAAGTTTTATATAGTGCAACTCCATGTGAGCAGATCAGGGAAAGGTTTATGGGGAATGTGAAGGCTGCAGAAGCTCCCCCTGCCACCCCAAGTCTCTGCATGCATGCAGCGTGCCCTCCCAAACTGTTGTTTGTGTGTACTGATGTACGGGTCCCTTCTGCGCTGGACTGCATCCAGTCCTGGGCACGGCACCACAAATATTAATTATGTAAAGCCTCATATTACCAGGAAGTACTGAGGGGAAGAAGATGTAAATTGACTGATGCTTCTTTTACCTCGGAGAGCCTGTTTGCCATCAGTAAATCACTAAGGAAAGATTGAGCTGCACTGCTATGGGGCGGCAGATGTGCTTGCAGCAATAGCTTCAGTATCAAACAATTTGGAAAGGAACCAGCACAGAATCGCTTCCCTTTGCCATCAAATCAAAACCAGTAAGGAGTGGACAGTACTGGAATGAAGTACTCCCTGGGCCCTTAAAAGCCAGAAGTGTTCCCAAAATGTGCTAAAGAATATTAGAAAAAGCCAGATTTGCAGTCGTGTCTTTTAAGGGAAATGGGCAGAGTGCCTGGAAGCGGGTGGAAGCAGCCTTTACCCAGGCTCTTTAGACCTGAACTGCTTGGGGGCCTGTCTGCTGGGCAAGCAGGTATCTGGTTTCAGCTCCTCACGCAGGACTGCCTGTCCCTGGGGAAATCGGAGGAACAGAAGGAATACAGTAACTCATGCTCCAGCACAGGCTCAGTGCCAATACCCCCAAGAAACCAGGCGCAGCAGGACTTGGAGGCACCGCGCAGGTCGCCTGGCCCCCGAGTGGGGCACTACCTGGACGCAGGGACTCCAAGGGAGACAACATTTCGGCAGCCCGCTCTGGGAGTCAGCGAACCTGGGCTCGAAGGGACAGCACATCTGTGGCCCACCCTTCCTAGGGCAGGACTAGTGTCGCCTAGATTTAAATTCGCTTCGCAAAATCAGCTTGGCAAACCAGGGAACATGGCCTCCTGCCTTGCGTATGCCTGGAAAATGCTTGGCTTTCTCTGAATGCAATGGAACTAGGGGCTGACAATAAACCACAGAAATTTGGGCCCATCGGTGCTGCCATGGCTGAGGCAGCCTCCCTCCTCCACACCAGCTCTGACTCACAGCATCTGCAACAGCCAGGCTTGGTTCAAAGGAGAAAACCTGCTCTTTAACCCTTACTGTGGACTGTTCTCTCCACTTTAATGAACTTTGCAAAGCGATTACATGGAGAAGTCCTGCTGTTAGTAAATAACATGGGCAGCTGTGGAAGACCTTAATGCCTTCAAAGAGCAAAAGGAAAACATGGCTGTACTGGGAAGGATACCTTCCTCATTGTGTTTTCCTTGCTGCATCTGTTTTTTATGCTGTGCTTAAACTGAAACTGTTTTTCAGCCAGAGGTTGTTTACTATCCTGTTCACCACCACGGTTCTTGGGAGAGGTGTCAGCAAGTCACACATTTATATTCCTCTGCACTGCTTGTGGGCTCAGTCATCAAAGGCAATGCATAATGCAGGAAGACTGATGGCTTGAAATGGGCCTCATGAATCCATCTTGATTAACCAGCCCAGGAAAGATCTGCTTTGAAAAGAAAGTCCCCTAGAAATCAGCCACCTCTTTATTTATACCCAGAACTTCATCAGGAGGCGAGACATTGAGTGGGCAGCGCAGGCTGCTGTCAGATGGCGCAGGGAAAGCCGTCATCCCCTTGCGCGTGGCCACCTTCAGATCTGCCAGCATCACTTAGGCCCCTGCGTGTCCCCTTCCACCCTTGTCTTTAGGTGCCTCATTGTCTTAAACCTCTGCCTGCTCACAGGGCACTGACAACGCTGGGCAGCTCTGCTCGTCCTGTGCTGGGAAAGCAGCCACAAGTTCTCTGTAGTTCAGTAAGCTGGTATTAATTGCTGGCGTTTGCCCTACAGGGCACCTCCTA